GGCGTAGGTGGAGATACTTTCCGGTTTAGAACAATGCTCCAGATGAAGCGGAAAATTGTTGTGCACGTGCCTGGGAGCATTGCGAAAATGATGATGATAGTCGTAAGGCTCAGATCATCTTTCACCACAAGTTGTGGCCTCAAAAACAATCCTATACAACACCCAAGATGGCTGAGGAAATGTGAGAATATCGCGATTTCTAAATCGGTTTTTTCGAGTTTTTGTCTGAGATTTGAAGACGTGATTTGTATTACTCTTGACGGGACCCGCAAAACTGCGCCATTTGATTTTTTGTTTTATCACTTTGTCGCAACATTTATGTTCCTTAACATCAGGCTAACTCACGGGAAAAAAAAACAAAACAGTGGCGCAGTAATATAGGTGTTTGCAGTACTCATTCAGATGTCAAAACTTCAGTTTCTGATGCGACAAAACGATTCGGAAATCCGGTCTATACATAACACACGGGTCTTGGTCAGACTTGACAAGCTGATATCGGTTTTGTTGTACGCGAATCTGCCGTCCCCGACGTTCGCTGCTTCCTTTTGGAGTCGGAATACGCGGACGGCAGTTTATCCGATATTTTTTGTGTATTTCTTGCGGTGGCGCGGACCGAAAGTACGAAATAGTCCACCTGCCACACATCATTTTGATCCGCCTTGTCAGTGTTGTGGACGTTTTCAGTGGCGTTCAATAGCGTGTGCCTTGTCTGTCACATGATGGCGTTCGTTTGCATGGCCTCACCTAGCTTGTCAGGTATGCCAGAAACAACAATTGTTTGCCTTGGCGAAAAGCGTACAAAAAATTGACTACATAGCTACCTAAGTGTTATTTTAACCCCATCACGGAGCGAGATGGGCATAGTGCCTTTGATTTACAAAGCTCGTTCGAACTTGGTGTCGTTCAACACAAACACCCAAAAGACTTGTGTTTTCGGGTGCCCTTGCTGTTGTGAGGCCGGGGTGGTTACCGGGTTGCGGTAACGAACAGGGGGAGCGGGTAAGCACTGGGTTACCTTCGCTCGCCCTTTGCAATGTTTCTTCTTTTCCATTGCAACAATTAATGGGAAGTAGATATCCATTTTTCCTTGGCACAAATGACATGCTTTGCAGTGCTTACTTTGGGGTTGGCGGAAACGCGGTCACAACAAAGCGTTGGGAGGCGCCGGGTTTGTAACGGGCTTTCGAATCAATTGTCGCAATTTGCTTTCAGGTGTTCTGCTTCCTCCATCGGTACGCCGCTGAACGTTAATTTTTTTAGGTGTTCGTTTTTGTGCCATTCATTCCGGAATGTGCACAGCATCGACTGATAAGCTTGATGGGTTTTATTTTAACCCCATCACAGGCCGAGCTGGGCATGTTGCCTTTGATTCACAAAGTTCGTTCGAACTCGGTGTCGTCCAACACATACACGCAAAAGACTTTTGTTTTCGGATGCCCTTGTTGTTGTGGGGTCGGGAAGGCCATGGGGTTGCGGTCACAAAAGAGGAGGCGGGTAAGCACTGCTTTACCTTCGCTGGACCTTGCAATGGTTCTTCTTTTCCGTTCAACAATTACTGGGAAGTAGCATCTCCTTTTTTTCTGAGCACAGGTCTCATGCCTTTGAGTAGGCCGTCACCAACTGAACCAGATGGAGTGATGGCGGGGCGGAAATTGTTTCATTTACGTGTACAGCAGCAGGAACCAAATTACGGACATGCTCAAACTGGATTAAGGATCAGATCTGGGAGGGGGGACTGCTCTCTACCGTATACGTTGTTTCAACTAGGATTTATCATAGTACAGTATAACCTATACATCGTCTATTGTATGCGATTTAGTATGGATATCCATATGTATGTATAATGGGCATTCATTATGACTAGACTATATAGTGACGTAGTGCCACAGCAGTCCGCCGGTCGGTATAGTGCCGATCAAATCTCAGGACAGATGATGATGATGATGAGTGTCCACTCCATCCACCGCCGCCGCCGTGTACAGTGTATAGATACATCCATCCCTGTTCTGAATAGGGGCGGTGGCTCGGTATATTGCCGGTACAACCTCTGGACACAACATACCGGCACTAGACAGGGCCCACTACAGCACAATGATAATGCGTGCATTACACACACAAGCGAGCATCTTAGTAAGTATTGTATGATGAATGTTTTTACACAATGACACCAAAGTCAATACAATAAGGAATATATAGACTTTCCTATACTATACTAAATCCTAAACAAGCGAATTGAACAAACTGGATTTAGTGCCCGAAAAAAATGGGGCGGGGTTGGGGGGGAGGTAGCAGTACGTCCATAATTTGACTCCGCGAGCCCTTGTGTGTACAGCGTTGTCTCCCGAGATCCAACAGCAAAAGATCTTCCCGGCGGCTACGACACACGTCAGCGGGGTACACAAAATATGCAATCGGCTCATGCAAATCTATTGCAATTTTTTCGTGGCCAATCGGCACACGTAGTGGCGAGGCATCGCGTTTTGAAACAGTTCTGCCGTGTCGAACCCGACCGAAACAACAAGTTAGAACCAACGGAGAGGCATACGCCGGCATGTACCTCCCTTGGAAACTCACTACAGCCAGCCCTGGCGACAACGAGTGCGAGCGTTGGAGCAGGTGGTAGCATTTTTACCCAGAGGACTGTGCGCGAATGGAAGGTGTATTTATACGTGTCCCTGCGCGGATTTGTGTTAGACTCTCACGTGCAGCGTGACAGCTGCTTCGCATGCACTTGTAAGAATCGCTTGGGTGCGAGAAAATGAAGCGGGCACCGTGAAATAATACAGGAAGGCCAGAGAATTGTCCCCACGCACCTTTCAGTGACCTCCAGCGCTTGAAGCTTAGCTTCGATGCTCCTCTCGCGTTTGACGTTTTCGCCCCCTCGTGCGTGTGCAAGTGGCAAAAATTACGTTCGGGTAACACGGGGAGAGGGGTTGTTCTCCCTGAGTACACGTTAAGGCCCGTATTTCGGTCCCAAAATATCGTCCGACCGAAATAAAAACATGGGCGTATGCGCCTGAACCACCTCTGCAATGACGCCAAGTGCGAAGCATTCAAAGAATATTAGGATTTTGAAGTCGCAAATCAAGCAGCGGCAGTACTGAGTGCAGAAGGAATGAGGGCAAAAGTGTAGACGTTTGCGCCCAAAAAGCAAAACCAAAATGTCCGTTGTCGCTTAAATGTGAACGTGTGTGTGCCTGGCCCATGCCGGACTTTTTGAAAAGACGGATTGAATCGGAGTTGATTTCGTTTTTTAGAGCCAATTTCTTCTTGTTTGATGCAGTACCTTTTTAGTCTCTACTGCTGTACTACGCCCCAGATTTTTGTCGAGACCTAAAAATTGGCACGCGTGTGTGCGATGGTCCCACCTGCCCATCAGCTTAAGAAAAATGAGAGAAATCGGTGCCAGTGTCGCCGTACGGCACTCTACAAAAATCTACCAAATGTGTCTCTCTATCGACGTCTCTACATGCATCTACCACGAAACCAACTCCTTCATCGCATCCGGAAAGTCCGGGTCGCGCATGATGCCGGGGCCCTCTCCCGTAGACACAACATCGTAAAACATGTAGTGGATGCCTTCTACCGTTGCCTCTTTTTCGCGTCATGAGATTCAATACAAAAACATCACTTTCACAACCGACTCGTTCTTCAACAAGCTTTTATCTCAGGGACGACAACGTCCGTCCTACACTCGAACTCTTGTTGTTGGCACGAGACCACCCACTCTCGGTATATTTGTCTTCTTGAAACACGCGGCCTACAACTTACCATGCGAATGCGTGTGAAACCTCACTGCGGCATGATCAACCGAATCCGTTCCCGCCTCAAGGCGCATGAATCGGTTGCGGTCGTCTTCGTGCGTTGCGGTCTGGTCCACCTCAACGTGGAGAAAAGTCGATCCAACCTGCCACAACATGTCGGCTGTCTCCGTAAAACTGTGCAGGCTAACGGGCAGTCCCACGACAGAAAATTGTCCTCGAGTTCGGCCATCCGTCCCTGAAGCTCGGCCAATACAAAGTGTTCGGTCCTTGCCTTGGACGTTTTGACTAGCTCGGGATACTCGTTGTGGAGGCAGTTGCCACGAAGGGGAACACCTTCCGCTTTGTATCTTCCCTGCCCCCTCTCGATTACTGGGAACACAGAGCATGCGTCCGACCTACGCCTCATGTTGATGACGTCCTTTCACTTATCCGAATTATGACCGCACGAGAACCGTGTCCTAGTCGAGTCCGAAAGTTGGGTGTGTCGAGCAGCGGTCGGCCTCGCATACCTTGCTGCAGACGCCTCGGTAATCAAGTGTGTGTGCACGAGAGCGGTTTACCCAGCGCGAACAAATTGGAGACGTTCCTGACGGAAGTGTGTCGACCATGACGAGGCCAGCCACCTGGTGTTCCCGGAGACCTTGAATCTCCTTCTCCATGGCAGCCTTCCATTTCGCTCTGAAAGAGGACTAGACGACCTTCTTGAAGGTGTTCGGCGTCGGGATCGATGCCGGCGGTACCAGCGGCGCTGTGCCGTTGGACGAAACCATGGACGACAGCTGCTGCAGCGCCCTGCGTTGCTGACGACAAGTCAAGAGATGTCGTTGGCAAAAGCTGTCTTTCAGATGCCCGTCCAGCTCTATAGGAGCTTCCCCATCGTCGTCCACGTTTGCGTCACTCTCGATGTCGCCGGCTTCGCCGCTATCGTCGCTGTCGCCGTCGTCACCGAAGTGAGTTTACCGCCTTGAATCAGCATCCGGAGGGATGGGCGATTCACGACGGCCGGCGGCGGTAGTAGGGGAGCGAGCACCAGGCATTTCAGTTGCGGGTTTCCACCACCTGGCGCGAAGACGAGCACTAAGACACGGAAGCCTCGCTACACGATCGCTTTCGTCCTTATAACAGTGCGATAAGTGATTCGCTTGTTAAAAACATCAAAGTTTTTATGGGCCAAGGGCCGTGAGAACCCACACCCCATAACCTCAACCACTTCCACACCTCACCCTGGACGCGCAGGTCGGTTGTTGGGAGCGGTTCGGGTCAACCCCTGGGGAGACGACATTGCCAGCAAACTATGTGGAGGCTGTCCCATCCAGCCAGCCCTGACTGTGGTACCAGCGACAGGACCGAGTTCGAGGAGGCGCTGGCGGCTGCGAGAAGCGCCCTTGAAGGACGATCCTGGGGAGCTCTCCAGAGCTACGAAACAGCTTCTATAAGGCTCCCAGCCCCGGACGGCGCTATTGAAAGTCGTCAGGAAAAGGTTGCCAACGGTCCCCGCATCTCGGGGCTCGAGGGTTGGGGAGCTAATAAGAACCTTTCTTTTGCCGGATCATTCGCCACCATCTACACGGCTGCTGATAAGAATCCGTTGTTCCTGAACCCAAATAGCCAGGAAGCCATCAACCTGGTCGCCGGGCTTAAGCGGTCCTTGGGGTCCTCGGACGCTTCAAGGGCTGAGACCACCCGCTCAGCTGAAAACGAAGACGGGCGGGCTGCTATCGTTACGTGCCTAGAGTCGGTCAGGTTCACCAATGAGGACCTGAGGTCACTCTGCATGCCGTACGTCGTGGGGCTATGGAGGGCGTGTTCGGGTCCTGCTGTGGTGCTCAGGCACCTCCTCCCCGTGGTGTTCGCTACTGGAACCAGAGCTATTTACGAGTGTTTCGCCTACGTCTGCCGCCTCACCGTAAGGTTGGAGAGCCTAACGGAGGGTGAAAAAGAAGGGTTTGAGGCATCCGAGGAATTTCTCATCTCTAGGTCGGGTATGTATTCTGGGGTTGACGAAGGGGTGCTAACTGGGTATACCTGCTTCTTGTTAAACTTCATAGTCGAGGACGTCATCGGCGATAGAGTGAGCGGTCCAGGACCCTGCTTTTGTGGTGGACTGGCGGGGGCGGTGGGCTGGTGGCCCGCCAGCTGGGACAGGATACCCCTCGGACATGTCCTCAGCGTCATGTCGCTGGCCACCGGGTCTGACCTGTATGAGCAGGACGGGGCGCTGGTGTACAGGTACAAATTCTTTAAGGTTCGGGCAGTCCTATCCATAGATGCTACGTCTGGAACTAGGGCCGTACCTGGGCACCTGGTGTCCGCCGTCCTCAAGTTCAGAAATTTGGCGAGTCTCATTAGGGGGAGCTGGGTGTCATATCCCCCCTTCAAGGCAATGAAGGAGGGAATGGTCCGAAGAGAGAGATATGTCGGATGGGTCGCGTCTGGCCGAGGGAACACGCGCATCTCAATGACCGGCGGGTACACCCCAGCACCCAGGGGCCAGGGCGGCGGTGTGCCGGCTGCTGGGCGGCCGGGACGCGCTCCGAGCTGGGGAGACGACTGGTCAGCTGTGGACAGCCGGGACACCGTGTTTAGCCCGGGGACTCCAGCGCGGGGGATCGGTCAAAAGTGGACCGACGTGGCGGGCTTAAGCACTCCCGTGGCGGAACACATCGTAACGGCAGGTCGTGTTGTAGCGAGAGGGATCTGGGCAGCTGGTTCAGCGCTGTCTGACTTCGGGCGCTCAACCGCCGAGGCCGCGAGGGCCGTCGGCGGCATTCTCTCTGCCTATGAAGTGGCGTCCGTGAACCGCGACGTTTCGAACGGACCGCTCGCCCTCACTTTCAACGTCGGGAAAGATAGCAACGCCGCCAGGGAGGTGTGGCAGAGCACTCAACCGGCCTCCTATGACCGAGGGTGGGGGACGTGGGACTGGACGTCCACTGACATCCTGGCGTACTGGGAGGCCAACTGGGGCGTGTTCTCCCTCTGTTTACGCCTCCACGGCCCGGATACCGCCTGGGGCAGGACCATCAGAGCAGTCTATGATCTGACCACAGGATTTGATGCACTACCTAAAGACTTCCTAGACCGGGTGTTAAAATTGGCGTGGGCGGCGCGGCCATCTAGCGATGGCTTGCAAGAAATGATCAGTCGGAACTCTACTAAGACAATTTCTCCCTATCCTAGGACACAAACTCCAAGGTCAGTGATGACCACGGGTCAATACAAGGATCTTTGTAAGGGGGATAACGGTGCCGGGGTGAGATGTCTGGGGCTGATGTTGGTCCAGGCGGCCTTAGTGCCTGACGGCAACTCGGAGGTGAGCCCACGCGGCAAATGTTTCGCCCCCGACGCCCTGTGCCATGTCAAGGGGGTCGTGACCGGTCTTGCCCGGGGTGGAGGGCCCATCATGCTAGGGGCTATGCTAGCAAAGAAGCTGGGGTGGGGGTTCAGGACGGCCTCATTCTCTGAATCCGGCCGAGAGGGGCACGCATTCATGGTGACATTCCCTGAGAGAACAGGCTACGGGAACGGGCGGGGTCTCACCTTCTACTGCAGGCGGAAGGGGTGGGGGCGGTGCGGCCACGTTTTACGCCCTCCGGTCTGGACGGGACCGACAGAAGCTGAGAAGGCGATATACAGCGCTGGAGGTGATTCAAGACCACTTGTCCACTACGGCATCCCGGATGAATCCCGGGAGGAAGCACCGGGTAGCCGATTGGTTTGACGGGAGCTCTCGGGATTTTACATCTTCGCACAAGGGTAGGACGGGGGAAGCAGATAGGTGGAGGCATGAGTGATTCATGACGGTCGGCAGCGGCAGCAGGGAGGCGAGCATCCGGTTTTTCGATAAAAGTAACGTTACGGATTTCCACCACCTGGCTCGTGCAGCTGTGGTAGTACGTTAGGCCCGGCTGTCCTTGCTGTAGACGATCAGCCGCCCTTTCCACCCGCGGTCCCGCAGCTTGTCCCGATGATGCTTGAGTGTAGGAAGGCGCGAGCGCCTACCACACGCAGGTGCGACAGCATGGGTTGTCCTATGCCAAAACCAGTGACAGAAGGGAGGCACAGATTCATATATATTTTCGGGAGATGCTGCAGCAGGGGGGCTGTTTTCATGAATATTTATGGTTTCTATGGTTTCTTGGGCAACAGTTGAGGCACCGATTCGCATGTGCGCCCTGTTGAGGATTTGGTCCTTGGACGCTATTTTGGAGGAAGAATTTGACAGGTTTTGACGAGTAATGGTTGGGGTCTTCGTACTTTCCGAATGCTCGTTTTGATTGGTCAAGAAGTTGAAACTCCGTTTTCTTCGAGGATGTTGTGTCAACTTTTTTGAATCGTTTTTTCCAGATTTATTTGTCCGACACCGTTCCGCCCCTTTGCTGATGTAGCGCAGATACTTGTTGGGTAGTTTTCTGAGGGTGACCCTTTGTGTTGACGGCTTGAGATTAGTTCCAGGGGCGAGAACACATTGGGTTTGTGGATAAAGTGATGGAGACGCACTGTGTTTACTGCGTAGCCAGTGTTGTAGAGGATGTTTATTGATCATTTGTGTTTCTGTGTTGGTTTGAAGATTATTCATAAAAGACTTCCAGATCGTATATTGTACCAAGCAGGGGGGCTGTTTGGGGAACTTGGATACAAGATCCGATATGGAGAGTACATATTTGTGTGGGGGGGGTATGCTATTGGGGGTCCAAGTGCGGGGGTCCTCGAGAGAGAGAGAGAGCACGCACATGTGGGTACTGTCTGCATATATTATCCTGTGCTGGAACGAGCATGTGGGTGTGTGATGATCAAGGTTGATGTCATCCGCATCGGTCCTGGGTTAACTTAGTCCCCAGACACATTCATACTACCGTGCGTGGGCACGGTAGCCTCCGTGGGAAGACACCGGGGCCTCAAGCAACATTTCGACTTGCTTCCGTCTCACACGTGCAGTAAAGCATGCATCATGTACGCCAGCCTCAGGCTTGCTTGTCGCTTTCTTCGCGGTTGCGGTACCGTTTTGGCGTTGTCTCCGCTAATGCCGCCGAAGAAATGGAAACCCCCGACAATCTATACTGCCACGACGTGGAGGCTATGATCTGATGCCTTGACCCTACAGCCTCTTGGTCGCTTCCAGTAAAACTATCATTCCCTCGCGTGCTTTTTCCTTCATGTCGCGACGCGAACTCCACTGGAAATCCTCGGCCTGGTCCTGTACCAAACCAACTAATGTAGTTTGTGGAAGACCACGGAGCCTTTGGCCGTGGAATGCTTGCTATTGGCGTACCATGCCCCTGGGGCGAATTCGGCGTCGTTCTTTCCAAAGTACCTAACCTCGAAGCTTGGCTGCTGGGCAAAAGCCATGTAGTGATGAACACCGTCTCTCTCGCGGCTGACCTCGGTCCTGACCTTGGCCCGCTGGCAGGCTTCGCCAATCGCCTTCACCATCGCCTCCACCCCTTCACGTTTGGCCTCGTCGGTAATCCGAGGCGTCTGTATTTGATTTGTACACCATGTGGAAACCAGGATATTGGTATCTTCCCAGTAGTAGGGACGCACAATCAACCGTATAGATCCATGACCCTCGAAGCGACGTTCTCGAGGTCTGAAGATCTTACAACGAAAAGACCCTCCGTCTGCTGTGACTAGCCGGAGGGTGGAAGCGAGCCCCTGAAGCTAACTCCCACCTTTCAACCTACCTAGGCCGACTAACGTCAGCCACGCTTGGCCATTCCTTGCCACATTGCAATAAGAGCGAAATTACCTCCGTTGGTGAGCGGTTATTCGCCACTTCAGGGACCTTTACTCATGACAGGGCAAGGGTATTCTCAACCATAAGTGTTTTTTTTTCTCGAAAGTTTTGAACGTTCCCATATCTAAACCCAACTCTTCTCATGACCGCGCTCACCTTCTTGTACGGACCCAGGCCTCTTGCTTGGACTTTTTCGAGATAGCCGCGCTAGAAGCGGGTGTAGTACCATCTGCAGAGTCAGTCACCGGTGCGCGCTCTTGGGGACGCTCGAGGCAGCAGCGCCAGCAGCAACGGTTGTAGTTCAAGCAGCAAGTCTCAGTCATGGGTGCCGCATCAGTAGAAGAACCGGTGGCAGGTACGGCGCCAGCGGCAGGGCCTGCCACGAACCATGCGCCAGAGATAGGGAGGCGGAGTTCGTCCTCCACCCTCGAGTTCCTTCGTCTTCATCTTCAGCCCCTTGTCCACTCGGATGAACTAAACGTCACGGTCTTCATCGGTCGTGCTGCTGGCATCGGAGGGGGTGTTCGATCCCCCGCTGAGCCGGCGAGGTCTCTCGTCCAGCATTCTCCTGATGTCCCTGTTGGAAGACACTTCTCCCTCCTTGGACATTTTTGTCATGCTAACCGGTCGGAACGTCTCGCGTTGTAGCTATCGGTGATGAGTGTGGTGTAAAACTAGGAAGTGTGGCATCTTTAGCTCCCAAATTTTCAAGCAAACAAAACTGAAACGACCACATGCTCACAAATCGCAAAGTTGAATGACTGTGGTACCATTCAATAAAGATGGCTCACCGTTTTCGTGGTCCAATGATCGTTAGCTAGCTCATAGAGGCACATGGCGTCCAGAGTGAATCTAAGCTCGATGACGTGCGCGATGGCCAGCATGTCCTGGGCGGTCCGATGGGCGTTGGCGTCAACATTATGCAGCCCGAAAAACGCCAGCCTGGTTTCTTCGCGTGTTGTGTCGAATAGTACACCTTGGCTGAGAACTTTCCCATCTATTCTAGCTCTCTCCGTTGGCTTTCTTGAGGAAAGGCCGCCCAACCAGTACCGTCACCGCCAACCACCGCACAACTTGTGCGCCCTCTATGCCGTGTTCCATGCAAACTGCCGACAAAGATTCTACGGCGGACTCCGGCTGCTTTCCCATTGTCGGGAGCTGGATCATCATTCTTCCGACGCTCGGTCTTAAGCAGGTGGTCTCGCCAACCAGTCCGAAGAATTCCTCGGGGTGCAGGGTGTCTCCGTTGTGCCAGTGCGTAGCCAAGCTGAAGACGCCGAAATCTTTGGAATCGACGTCATCCTCTTCCAGCGCCTCCAACAGCGTCAGCACCCTCTATTCGCACCCTCTGTGACTTCCTCGGGCGTTTTGCCGAGCAGGTGCTCTTCTCCACCGATGCCATCCAATTCGAAAAGCGTGGAAGCGATCTTCGCTTCCGTGAGACGGTCTAGGTTTCATTCGACGAAACCGGGGTCGACTTTGTCAATGACTTCCATCACGCTCTGGCACCCGTTGGCGGACATGGCCCCCATAGACATGTCCATGTGTCCTCCCTCTCCTCTCGTGTGTCCTCCACCAATGGGACCCTCTGCTTAAGGAGTTTCATCCCGTCTCTGACGCCGCCGGTGGTAAAATTTAGATGCGACGTGTGTTCCCAGATTCCTCGCGTTCTGGAAGAATGAATGGCAGTGATTCAGGGTCCTTCGCACTGCACTGTGGCCGCTGTCGGCACCGAGTTCGTGCTTGAGAAGACGGGCGTCAAACCTTGCGTGGCTGAAGAATGTCGTGTCCAACAAGTGCAGACCTACCCGCCCATACTTGGCCGCGTCCCTGATTCCACATCCAACGATAATCACCGGTGGCATGTTATGAACAAACGTTTTGCATGGCGCCAGAGCGAAACGCAGCGCCTACGGCATGTCTCCTGCGGGCTCGCTGTCGATGTCACGAACGCTCAGATTTTTCAGGCTGTGTGTGATGTTGGGGGACCACTGGCTAGGATATTTTTGCAAGAGCTTGCATCCTTGCAGTGTACATGGTTAATATGCTTCGAGGAGGTTACCCGGCGGCCCAATCGGTAAGCACACATGTCAACAACTTGCTGACGACGTTAAAATTTTCTTCCCAGGAACCATGCATACGCTCCGCCGACGGTGCTAAGGTATGCCCCTCTCTCACAGTATCTCCCGTGAACAAGCACCCCTATACTTCTAGATCGTCGTGGGCGACACATCCTAACCCGCCTAGAAAATGCAGCTGGCTCAGCGACCCAGGTTCTGCGGCGAAGTCCTTGATGGACTCGTCGTGTCGGTCTGACTAGAAGTTTGCTCCGAGGGTGGATTGAATGAGGATTTTGGTGAAGACAGCCAGCGACACGTCCCGCAGAGTATCCACGCGCACTTTGATCGACATCAGCTCGCTGGTCTTCATGTTGCTCTCCGGATCTGTGCCGCCACCACTCCTGTTGGCTCTGTCTATGGTATCATTCGGGTTCTAAAGCGTCCCAGTCAACACGCCGCTGAGAACCGATACAATGAACCAATCATGACCATAACTTTGTCACTAGATGGAGGATGAACCGCCGGAGGTTCGTGTCCAGTGACAGCCCTTCGTCGCACCGGGTCTCCACTCCAGGGGGTTCCTGCGCCTGACCAAGTCTTCGGCGGCCTCCTTCACCAGGAATTCTTTCCCGCGTTCCTTCATTGACAAGGAGGGCGAAGCGTCCTAGTCCTTCACGGTTGTCCACCGCGATGTAGACCACCCGGTCCACCACCCTATAGACCAAATCCTCCGTATCGCGCGCCACGTAGACAGTCTCGTTGACGGCGCGCTTGTACTGTGTGCCAGTCATTGGTGAACGGGGTTAGTTTGAACCCCCTCCTCATCTTCTCCTCCTCGTCGTCGTCGTCCTCCTCCTCCTCCTCCTCCTCCTCCTCCTCCTCCTCCTCCTCCTC